CACCACGTCCACTACACTAAAAAGAAACCTTTCAACGGTTATGGCGTTTACACTAATTTGCTTCGGCTTTCTCGCAATGCTAGGAAGTAGAACTGAGTAAACGGACTTCTGACTTCATCATTTTTTTTGCTTATATAAAGTGAGCAGCCACAGACTGCTGTCTTACCATTCTTAGCGAACTTGGACTATATATACAGTACATGAATTGTACAAGAGGTCAGAAGGTGTTTCTGCCTTCCAGCATTGTGAAAGGGCCAACTTATATCCACATTCCCAGAATTCATAGCAACTCTATGCGTGCCTCTTTCATAGTAATTAGCTCCAAAAGATCAGGTCCTCTCCCGAGTTCTACGCTCTCCGGGTTTCAAGGGGATGATGTCACTCCTGTAACCTGCTCAGCGCGCTGAGCCCTGTTTCATTAGCTTGTTTCCTCCCACCTTCCAAGGACAGGGTGACCAGGTTACTTTGCTGCCTCTGAACTGTCGCTGTCTGAGGGATCTTTCTCTCCCTTCACCGGGCTCATCGTTGCAGACTTCTACAACCTGTCGCGGAAACGTTTACTGTTAGAATAAATGGAGCCACAGAAAGTATTCTCTAATACTTAGTAAGGTCTTTTACTTCATATGGCAATATGGGGGCAAGCACTCACCACCAGCTCTGTGGGACTGAGCAGGCTCAACAGAGAAAAGAAAGTTTCATCCTTTACACATCAAGATGATGCAACATCATTATTTGTTGCATTAATCACGAGATCCAGCCCATTTCCCTTCCCCGTTGGGCAAGCCTTGCATATTTTAGGCAAAATACAATTGCCTACACGCAGTTCGCTCACACAACAGGCGGTTTGGGTTCTCTCGCACACTGTGTCTGCAGTTTCAAGATAAGCAAATCCTTGGACATGGCTTGCCTGGTGCGTCTGTAGATTCCGTTCCCGGACCTTCGGCTAAGCCTTGCTAATAACATTTTTGAGGCTAACCCTTTACTTACTTTTCTCTCACAAACCCTTGGTGTAAAGAACCTGCCCCCTGTTCTCGGTTTCAACCGCTCCGCCAGAGAGTTGTCACTTGTACCCTCATGGTGTCTGGGTTCAAGCCACGCTGGAGACCCTGTACTGGGCCTCTCTCTTCGACAGTACAGGCCAGAGCAGACGTGAACCCTGACATCCGAGCCACAGCCATGCACTGACTGCCCAGGCAAATCCCTTCACAGCAGCAGTAAATCAGGGGTTTCTTCTAACATAGGCCACTAAGCCACAAGAAAATCAATAGTGGGTCAAACAGAGGTGAGTATGTACATCATCACAACGTATAAACATTTATGTTTAGGGAGCAAGACTGTTAAATGCTGCACCAGTTATTAGTGTAGCGACCGAGGCTGGTTTTCCATGATGATTCTTCTCAGGTTTGACAGCACCTTGCTATTCGCCACTGTACCTTCGGGCAAATAGCCAAATTCACCCCCGCCAGCCTGGCACGCAGAGGTGACTCCTCGAAAGAGGAAGTCTTGAAAAGTGCTGCCTGCTGCATCTCGATTTCGAGGCCCGCTGCGTTAATTCGCTCCGACGCTGTCCGTGAAGATGAGTTCACACTTTCAAACAATTTCAGTCGCGCTGGAGCCAGCAGAGTTTCAGTCATAGTGATGCACTCTTGTACCAAGGCTCCTGCTGAATGTACCAATTCTCCTGTTGTGGTCTTTGAAAACAGTGTGCAGTCTGTTTGAGGTCTTGAGTGTTTTATATTTGTCTGAATATGGATGCAATTGCAATCTTGGCAATCATTCATACTAGCATCTGTGTTTACACGATATGGCGAGGAGTCGTTGAAAGCTGTGCTTATGTGAACCAATAACATGGCAAAGGTATCTTTATGTGGACCAATCACATGGGGAAGGCTGTGTTTATGTGGACCAATCACAGGGGGAAAGCTGTTTATGTGGACCAATCACATGGCAAAGGTATCTTTATATGGACCAATCACATGGGGAAGGCTGTGTTTATGTGGACCAATCACAGGGGGAAAACTGTTTATGTGGACCAATCACATGGCAAAGGTATCTTTATGTGGACCAATCACATGGGGAAAGCTGTTTATGTGGACCAATCACATGGCGAAGGCTGTGTTTATGTGGACCAATCACATGGCGAAGGCTGTGTTTATGTGGACCAATCGCATGTAGAACTTGTATCAACCAATCAGTCTCATCCCAAACAAGATGCTCTGGTAGCTGGTTGGGGGGTAAGGTTGGTCCGGTGGTGCCTGTGTTATGAAGTACAGCCCCAGTGCAGAGTGTCAATGCTTTGGAAAAGGCAGTTTGTAATATATCTTTTTTTTTAATGACCCTCTCCCCTCTCCTCCCATCCAAAACCAGCAGGCTGCCATTGCTGTCAGTCCCTGTATCTCTGCAATGGCAGGGAAGGTACTGTAACTCTCTCTCTCTCTCTGTCTGTCTCAGTGACTCACTGCCTCTGAGCTCCAAGCTCCTGATTAGTAGGCTGCTTCGCAGGGACTGCCAATGCAAACACATGGGCTCGGCTCGCTAGCTCTCTCTGCTCTCGTCGGGTTTTAATTCTCGGCATATGTGGCCGTGCGGAGCCAGGAGAACAAAAAAAAACGACTCCACGTTCTGCCAATGAGGAAAAACAAAAAAAGACTAAACTTCTTGATATGCAAATACAATGTGTCTTTTTTTTATATAAAACAGAAGAAGAATTTGAACCTAGGGCCCCTGAGCGTGAGCCAGCCAGGAAAATGCTTTGCTGTTAAAACCCGATGTGTGTTTAGACTTTGTGAATGTGTAGATTTCTGTACCGACAGAATGGAGTTATGGGACACATGATGGACAGCACAGAATCGACACAAAGGTCAAAGGTCATAGTAGATGTGATGTATAGTTTAGATCAGACTTTAGGTCAGGGGTGGGCCATCCTGTTCCTGGACCACCAGTGAGTCTGGGGGGGTTTGCATTCCAACTCCGATCTTAAGCAACCTGAATCAGCTCATTATTGGCTTAATAAGAACAACGTAGCAGCTTCTTCTAACTGCTGCTTTGAAGAGACCTGCAGAAACAACAGGCCCTGCAGGATTCGACACACCTGCAATAGATGTTCCCAGTCCAGATCTATGCCGCGAAAAGAGGCAAAAGGTATTACAAAGTGGTGTTCTCTCCCACATAAAGAACTAAGCCATTTGTCCCTAAATGCACCCGAGTTCTCTTGAGTTCTCAAAAATACCTGTTAGCGTCCGCTCCTCAGAGTGCTGGCTTGCAGCAGGGTGGGTGTCAGAGCTCTGGTCAGCTCCTGAGACGGAGATTAGATGATGATGATGAGGCTTTAATGTACTGAGCCACTCGCCTCTCAGCTTGTGATCTCAGATTTGAGCGTCTTTTACACCAGTCTCTACCTGTTTGTACCTCTCACTCCGAGGGAACAAGCTTGTTAAGCTGTATGCGCCTAAACAGGATCAACAACTCGAGTTCCCCCCTCCCCCCTAAATCCGGCCTCTGGTTGAACTGAGGGGCCGATCGGAACGTTCTGTAGCTATCGCTTTTGGCAGGGCTCGTCTTTGCAAATAGGAGAGAAAAACAGCAAACAGGCCAGTGTGCGATGCAACCTTGAATTTGCCATCCTCCCTCGGGCTTGACATTGCGGTCAGCGCCAAGCTGAAGGGCACGTTCCAGTCCCTTCCGCCCTCTGAAGCCCACGAAGGAAACGGTGTCCCATCTGGAGCAGGGAATCCGGGCCCGGAGGTTGGCTCCCCGGCCCTCTCTGCCGGCTTTCTGACTCTCCCTGCCAGACCG